GTAGAGTGCTCTGCTGAGTTGACACGCTGTCTTAATCGCTATTTCCAATCGAGTTTATAAGCAAGTAAGCTTCCTTATTCTATCATAGAATAATATTTTATTCAAACACATTTTACAATAATAATAAATCATAGTTCCAGTAATACAATACATAAGTATGAAAGAAAAACAACAGAAACAAACAGTACAATATATAGATCCAGGTTGATAAGCTTCACTATAGAACTTTATTTGAAAAAATGTTCAAGAAAAAGAACAACTTCGAATGCCGGTTGGTACCGCCCTTTGCAGTCTATTCTTGAATTCTGACTTTCAAAGGCTCAAAACACGCTCTTTCTTGGGATGAAAACTCGCAAACCTCTTTTTTCTAATTTACAGGGTATAAGATCTTACCCTGCCCTGCCCTTCTCTAGGGCAAAAGCAAAATACTTTTTTTACCCTGTCCTGTCCTGTATTCTGCCGCGCCCTGTACTGCCCTGCTCTAGAGCAGAGTAAAAATAACTTTTCTATCTTGTCCTGCTTCAGGGCAGAGCAGGGCAGGGTTACCCTGCCCCAAGGGGGAAAAAGCGAGACTTCAGAAATGCATACTTCACTGATACTTCACCAGTACTTCACCGATACTTCACCAGTACTTCACCGATACTTCACTAATACTTCACTGATACTTCACTAGTACTTCACTATACTTCACTAGTACTTCATTCTACTTCACTAGTCTTCGTTCTACTTCACTGATGCTCTACGATACTTCCTGGTCCCTTCTTAAACTATATCGAATTCTTGCAGCACAGGGTGTGGATGTGGATGTGAGTGTGGGTGTGGGTGTGGGTGGGTGTGAGTGTGTGGGGTGCGGGTGGGAGTGGGGTGGGTGGGAGTGCGTGAGGGTGGAGGTGGGTGGGTGTGGGAGTGCATGAGTGTGGGTGCGGATGTGGATAAACATATGATGTACACACTAGCAGCCCCACCCCCACCCTCTCAGTCGAGGTTCTGAAGCTTTTGGTCTTCTTCAGGGTTTTTTGAAACAAATTTCATTATTGAAGGATTATGTAAGCGAAGAGTAGCTATAAGCGTTTTTGAGAATCAGGAGAAATCTTTTAGTAACGACGAGCCGCTGTCAGTAAAGCTGTCGTTAACGAATCTTTTTCTTGGGTCTATTATTACTTATCGTCTACAATGAAGCGTGGGAGCAAAAGAAATACTAAGAGAATTGCTGTTCATAGCTGAAGGATGTCAACTAAGATTGCATTTATTGTTAGAAAGCGATATAAGTGTGTTAGCTATAAAGCCTTCCATATCCCGGCAGGTTGAATGCATCACGGCACTGTGACGTAAGGCTATTCAGTTGTATGCATGTCACTTTCTTAAGAAGAACCATCAAATACTGTTGCAGCCGAGGTTATTACTGTACAGCTCTATGAAAATGTAAAATCTTATTCATTTCTGTTCAAAAGAAAAAAGAAGATGCCAAGAGACAATAGAGAAAGAAAACAAGAAAAGCTATTACTGGAACTTTTGATGTTTATTTTAAACATTTGCACTCGACCATTACCATAATCAGAAACATATAAATTTCCATAACTGTCAAAGGCTAGATCATCGGGATTATACAATTGATCGGGTGCATCTCCAATTCCATTTCCTGCTGCAATTATAGTTGCATTCTTGCTCCCTGCCAGGACACGTACGATGCTATTCCCTCCACAATTCGCAATATAAAGAGTTCCACGAGAATCAACGGAAATGCCACGTGGTTCGCCTAGTTGATCTACGACAATTTCTCCTTTGCCTGATTCATTTTTCTTCCATTTGATCACATTACCATCAAATGTTGCCACATAGATTGCATCCTTTTCATCCACTGCAACGCTCCAAGCTAAGGAGAGAAAGAAAGTCCCACATATGCGGAGCGAAAAGTTACTTACATTTTTTGTTCAATTTCTACAATTCTCTTTTGTCCTCTATTCTAAAGAGTTATTCTATGCACACATCGGGTAATATCTGAACTATTTTCGTTCGTATATATCTGGAATCACAATCGTGCCATTCTGCTCCGCTCCTCCATTCGCCGCATACTTCATTACATATGTCGTCATATAATCTGTGACATAGAGATGTTCTTCTTTTGAGTCTAATGCAACGCTCAATAACCATTGAGCTCGACCGAGAACGGTACCGTTACGAGCGCCTTTAGGCCAGCGAGTAAGACTTTCTTTCTCTGCTATAAACATTGTACCTTCAGAGTCAATGACTAGATCATCTGGATAATTAAGTCCATCCATCACCAGAGTCGCATTCACTGCTCCATATTCCAATTTCATTATTCGATAGTTATACTGATCGGCGATGAATAATGTATTGTGACGATCAATGAATATTCCACCGGGTTCACTAATTTGGTCTGATCCAACCACTGTCTTTGCTTCTTTTTGCCATGTCGCATCGAGGGGTGGAAAATCTGATAATAAAAATGAAACGACTATATTTTTCAGTCATTAACTTCCCATTCCTTTATTTAAAAATTGCTTTCTTGTCGATTTAACTTCTCTAAGTAGTGAAGAGGGCGTCAGTTCGTTATCTACTTTTTGACCTCTCCCTGCTTCGACCTGTGCAATGTTTTGGTTGGTCCACCTGTAAGCTGTGTGATTCATTTTGCAGATTCTCTTCTTTTTGTCTCTCGTTTTTAATTTTAAGCATTCATGAAAGATGTTACCAGCCCTTATCAAACGCTTCATTAACGAGCGCATCGAGAAATGACAAAAAATAGAATTGAGTGAAAATATCTCTTTATTGGATTCTCCATGCAAAACTGGGTATGTGGCTTCATTCAGAAGGAAAAAAAGACCAATGTTCGATTTTTTGACCGGAATTCTCAGAGAAGCTTTCAGAAAAAGGAATGACGCTTTTGTTTATACTCGTATATATATGAGACAGCTCGGCCATTTCGCATCCGATTTTTGTATCAAGGTCTCATTCGATAGCCCATGTAAAGCTGCATCCAATGGCATAACTTGAACTAAGGTTTGAATCTATTTTGAGGTCGAAAATCCAGAATTTCAACTTCGGAAAAGGGGACTTCAAGGTATATTTGTGTTCTTCCCTGTTTCATAGCTGCCACTGAGAGCGTTTTGGCTTAATCTTAATCGTAATCTCGGGTTTATTCTTGATGAAGAGGAAACAAGGGCATGAACAAAATCACAGCGGCTTATAGACGTTCACTCTATGGCAGACAACACGACAGAGAGTAAAAGAAAAGAAGAGAGAGAAGAGAAGAGAAAACACGGGGAGACATAAAACGTATTAGTTCCTAGTAGAACTGTTCAAGTTTGGCAACTAATAAACTAAAAGAAGAATAGTCACAGCATCGGCAGGTGGACTGTTCCATTCTCGGAGAGTTTTCACTAAGAACGTATGCCTCATCGGTACTGTAGAAAAATTGGGAATCAGAATTTGAAATGGTTGTTTCTGAGGAAAATGCCGCACAGTTGAGAATAGAAGAAGGAGAAAACGGGCAAGAGTCGTACGACCCATAAGCGTTTTCCAAAGATATGGCACCCATTTCAATTATCTGACGATTCAAGTTTTTTTGCGGTTGAATGTGGCTTTTAAAGAATGATTTCGTTTCGCTTTTCTGGGAACTTCCATCCTGGTGAAGTATTAATCTCGACTGCTCACCCAAAAACGTTCACTCATGTAGTCTGTCTTAACTACCTCTGACGAAAGGAACTTATCAATTTTCAATCTAGCAGATCTTATTCAACTAAAAATTTTGCCTTGCCATTCTGTGAAGTTGAACCTTTTTAAATGTAAAATGAGCCACTTAAAGGGGACAAATTCAGTACTTTAGACATAACTCACATGCACATGAGCAACTGCCGATGAGAAGGTGAAGTACGAGAAAAACAAGGAGAATTGAAGCAGCCATCTTTTGATACAATAATGTAACTCTGGCAAAGCCTAACGAAACAGGAACGTGTTTCTTTATCTTCTTGAGATGACCTACATTCGTTTTAACCTACATTTCTTTCAACGAAAGGTGAAATAATGAATCGGCTTCTTTCTCTGGCTTTTTCTTCTGTTCTCGCTATGTGATAGCAATGGAAAAAGAAATAGGTCATTC